TGATGAAACAAAAATATAACTGTTTGGCCATAATGACCATCGTTATGTTTGGAGGAAAATGGGGGCGCTTGCAAGCCGAAGAACACCATCCCAACCATGAAGCACGGGGGTGGCAGCATCATGCTGTGGGGGTGCTTTGCTGCAGGAGGGACTGGTGCACTTCACAAAATAGATGGCATCATGAGGAAGGAAAAATGATGTGGATATATTGAAGCAACATGTCAAGACATCAGTCAGGAAGTTAAAGCTTGGTCGCAAATGTCACGCCCTGACTTATGGGACTCTAGTATGTTGAATCAGGGTGTGGAGGTCTAGGTTGTTATTTCTATGTTTACATTCTAGGTATTGTATGTCTATGTTTGGCCGGGTGTGATTCCCAATCAGAGACAGCTGTTGCTTGTTGTCTCTGATTGGGGTTCATACTTAGGCAGCCTATTGGCAATCATTAGTTGTGGGATCTTGTTCCGTGTGTAGGCTTGTTTTGTGTTTAGCCTGAGGACTTCACGTTACGTTGGTTTGTTGTTTTTGTTTGTGTGTTTATCGTTGAAATAAACATGTATGCATTTCACGCTGCGCCTTGGTCTGACCCGTCCTTAAACGAACGTGACAGAAGATCCCACCAAACACGGACCAAGCAGCGTGCCCAGGAGCAAACACCCTGGACACAGGTGGGGAAGATTTGGTCTTGGGAGGAGATATTTGTGGGGAAAGGACCCTGGGCGAAGAAGGAAGCCCAGGCAGGAGAGGAGCAATGGCAACACAGAAGGCGCCGGCCGAGGAGGAAGCCCGAGAGGCAGCCCCAATAAAAATGTTTGGGGGGGCTAAAGGAGTGGTCGGGGAGTGAGAGAGAAGAGCCCCGACCACTGCACCCGGTGGGTTTCCAGGTTGAGTCCCTACGACCATGGGAAGAAAAGTGGGAACAGTTTTTTATACTGAGGAGTCGGAGGATGACGACGACGATGAGTTTCTGTTCCCTAACTCGTGGGGGCTCCCAGAGGAGTCCTCACTGGAGGAGTAGTGCCGAGAGAGAGAGAAGGATCGAATCTGCAGGGTAAGAGAGGAGGCCACCACATTACGGGGGCTGATAGCAAGAATAGAACGGGAGAGCTCCATTCAAGAGGAGGCACTGCAGGAGGCTCGTAGGGAGAAGGAGGAAGTAGATTCACGGAGAGAGGAGCTGGTTAGGCAACATAAGGATCGTGGGTTAATAGAGGAACCCATGTATGCGGAGATACGCACTGTATCGCCAGTGCGCATGCACAGCCCAGTGCGTTCTGTGCCAGCACCCCGCACGTGTCGTGCGAAAGTGGGCAGCCAGCCAGGACGGGTTGTGCCGGCTCAACGCTCCTGGTCTCCAGTGCACCTCACCAGTCCTGTACGGCCCGTACCTGCTCCTCGCACCAAGCCAGTGGTGTGTGTTCCCAGTCTGGCCCGGCCCGTATCTGCTCCTCGCACCAAGCCAGTGGTGTGTGTCCCCAGTCTGGCCCGGCCCGTTCCTGCTCCTCTCACCAGACCTGTGGTGCGTGTCTCCAGTCCGGCCCGGCCCGTTCCTGCTCCTCGCACCAGACCTGTGGTGCGTGTCTCCAGTCCGGCCCGGCCCGTTCCTGCTCCTCGCACCAGACCAGTGGTGTGTGTTCCCAGTCCAGCCCGGCCCGTTCCTGCTCCTCGCACCAGACCTGTGGTGCATGTTCCCAGTTCAGTACGGCCTGTCCCTGCTCCTCGCACCAAACCAGTGGTGCGTGTCGCCAGCCCGGTACGACCCGTACCTGCTCCCCGCACCAAGCCAGTGGTGTGTGTCCCCAGTCTGGCCCGGCCCATTCCTGTTCCTCGCACCAGACAAGTGGTGCGTGTTCCCAGTCCGGCCCGGCCCGTTCCTGTTCCTTGCACCAGGCCAGTGGTGCGTGTTCCCAGTCCGGTACGGCCCGTGCCTGCTCCCCGCACCAAGCTAGTGGTGTGTGTTCCCAGTCCGGCCCGGCCCGTTCCTGTTCCTCGCACCAGGCCAGTGGTGCGTGTTCCTAGTCCGGTCCGGCCCGTGCCTGCTCCTCGCACCAGACCAGTGGTGTGTGTGTCCAGTCCGGCACGGCCCGTGCCTGTTCGGTTGCTCCACTCCGGAGCCCGAGCAGTCCGCTCCACCGGTGCCTGATCCAGCTCCGGTCGGTTGCTCCACTCCGGAGCCAGAGCAGTCCGCTCCACCGGTGCCTAGTCCAGCTCCGGTCAGCGGCTCCATTCCGGAGCCAGAGCAGTCCATTCCACCGGGGTCCAGTCCAGCTCCGGTCAGCAGCTCCACTCCGGAACCAGAGTAGTCCGCTCCAGCTCCGGTCAGCAGCTTCACTCCGGAGCCAGAGCAGTCCGCTCCACCGGTGCACAGTCCAGCTCCGGTCAGCAGCTCCACTCCGGAGCCAGAGCAGTCCGCTCCACCGGTGCCCAGTCCAGCTCCGGTCAGCGGCTCCAGTCCAGACCCAGACGTCAGCCCCTCTCCAGGTTCGGGGTCTCCCACACCAGGGCCCAGACAGGGCTTGGTGCATCGTGGGAGGAAGGAGAGGGGAAGCAGCGCGCCGAGGTCCAGACCAGACCAGGGGCGCAACGGCGAGGCTGAGAGAATGTGGTCGTCACGCCCGGAGCCGGATCCACCTCCGAGGCGGAATGCCCACCTGGACCCTACCCTGTTATGTCAGGTTTGTGCGGTCGGAGTCCGCACCTTTGGGGGGGGGGGGTACTGTCACGCCCTGACTTATGGGACTCTAGTATGTTGAGTCAGGGTGTGGAGTTCTATGTTGTATTTTCTATGTTCTCGTTCTAGGTGTTGTATGTCTATGTTTGGCCGGGTGTGATTCCCAATCAGAGACAGCTGTCGCTCGTTGTCTCTGATTGGGGATCATACTTAGGCAGCCTGTTTGCATTCATTAGTTGTGGGATCTTGTTCCGTGTTAGAGGCTTGTATTGTGTTTAGCCTGAGGACTTCACGTTTCGTTGTTTTGTTGTTTTGTTCGTGTGTTTATCGTTGAAATAAACATGTATGCATTTCATGCTGCGCCTTGGTCTGACCCGTCCTTAAACGAACGTGACAGCAAATGGGTCTTCCAAATAGACAATGACCCCAAGCATACTTCCAAAGTTGTGGAAAAATGGCTTAAGGATAACAAAGTAAAGGAGTGGCCATCACAAAGCCCTGACCTCAATCGTATAGAAAATGTGTGGGCAGAACTGAAAAGGCGTGTGCGAGCAAGGAGGCCTACAAACCTGACTCAGTCACACTAGCTCTGTCAGGAAGAATGGGCCAAAAGTCACCCAACTTATTGTGGGAAGCTTGTGGAAGGCTACCCAAAACGTTTCACCCAAGTTAAACAATTTAAAGGCAATGCTACCAAATACTAATTGAGTGTATGTAAACTTCTGACCCACTGGGAATGCGATGAAATAAATAAAAGCTGAAATAAATAATTATTACATACATAGTCCCGTGTAGCTCAGTTGGTAGAGCATGGCGTTTGCAACGCCAGGGTTGTGGGTTCGTTTCCCACGGGAAACCCATATGAATAACAAAAATGTATGCACTCACTAACTGTAAGTCGCTCTGGATAAGAGCGTCTACTAAAATGTAAATGTAATTCTCTCTATTATTTTGACATTTCACATTCTTAAAATAAAGTGGTGATCCTATAAAGGGAATTTTTACTAGAATTAAATGTCAGGAATTGTGAAAAACTGAGTTTAAATGTATTTGGCTAAGGTGTATGTAAACTTCCGACTTCAACTATATATATATATATATATATATATATATATATTTATATATATTTTTATATATATATATTTTTACTAAAATCTTTTGGGGCCCAAATAAAATCACTCGCAAGCCGGTTTTGGTTGCTGACTCCTGCCCTACACAGATTGAGCCCATTGAATTGAACGCTTGCTTTACAACTGGTCTTCTTGAGGCTTCAATGGACTTGTAAGATAAATGATAAATAGATAGACCATAGCCTATTATATTGCATTGTTGCTGTTCCATGCTCCTGAACATGCCTTTAAGACAACACTACTCCAAAAATTTGACCACAATAACAAACTCATAGTAGGCCTATTGTGATGAATGGAATGGAATGGAATGGGGAGGGGGCAGCGATAGGCTACATATAACATGCTAGAAAAAAAAGAGTTGGGTGGGTGCACCTATGATGAAATGCCTTGTCCTTAACCCATCATAAAAGGCATTAATAGTGAGGAAGATATCACTGACTTTTTTCTTTACTCAAGTGGAAATATTTGAGAAGCTTTGAAGTGAGGCGCCTGCTTTCTTTCACCTCTATCTGCAATTACTTTATGACATTTTATCAGCCTGAAGAAACACACCTCTTGTACTAATTATCCTGACCATGCACTGCCACGTAGGCCACAGCTTGAATCATTCGTCCCCCACTGGCCACATACTGGCTGTATCAAAAATTTTTCCAGGTCATTTCAATGAAATTACGTTGAACCAACCTGGAATAGACGTTGAATTGAAGTCTATGCCCAGTGGTCAGAGATTAAAAAACAGCCAACAAGCAGTTCAAACTGGTTTTGAAATGTCACTTCAAATCTTTAGCCGGGGTTAACCTGTCCTTGATAAAGAAACATTGGATACCATTATGGCCATTGGCTTTCATCCATATTACAATAGCATAATCATTGAGAAATACTCATCTTGATTGTAAGCGATCTTCATCTTCATAATCATAGCTTAGTAATAACTCAGGATAGTAAAATGAAGATAACAAACCATCTAGTTTGTTCATTCACTTAACTTGTACAATATTGACTAAGCCAGCAAAGTGTCAGTGTGACAGGGGAAGACCTCTGAAATAATGTTAACAAAACATGATATTTTTCCTCCTGACATAAAGGTTTAACAGAAGTTATCCTGCTACATTTACAGTTAATCTCCTACAGTATAAGGTTACATATCATTTTGTACTTTAACATCTGCTCTTATTGAAATAAAGCACAGTACAATGTAATGTAAAAATAAACCTTGACATTTTATTCATCTTCACATTGTAAGGTGAAACATATTGCCCATCTTTGCAGTATAAGGAAGTACAGACGGCAAGGCAACATGTATTCTGTCATGTAGTTATAATACCATGACAAAATAACATTCCATGGTCAAACAAAAAACACTACCAGGTCTTTACAGTGAAACTGCAAAAAAATATATCTGAAATGGGTAAAACACTGTGAATGCCTTAAACATTTATAAAGTGGCTCCACAGAAAGTATACAGTATTAAATGAACTGAGCTGTTTTAATTCGAACATTTAAGCGTTTTACTTTGTTTTACTACACAACTAGCGATTTCCAGTGTATATAGACAGGGATATCTTAAACCTGGATTTCAATGCAACACAACTGTCATACAGCAAGTACAAGATAACTTAAAAAAGTTAAATTTGTCCTTTCAGAACCAATTGACTACCTATCATACCTGTATATCTCCGTCTGTCACATAATTACATTATTTCAAAACATGACAATGTCGTTATATTCTTATTTCTGGGTACAAGTTGTGAGTGACTATATCAGTCAACAAGACTTGTATTGCCATTGACAACAGTCTTTGAAAAGACTGTGTAACACTAACATCATGATCTGCCTCATCACAGATATAAGGCCTGTTTGTAACATTCATACAATTTCAATGTGATTAAGAAACCTATCTAATATGTATACAGTTATATTTTATTTACCCATTCATAATTTGAACTCTGTGTATAAGGGTATAGATAACCTGTACAACTATGTCAAAGAGCATATCATATTGCCCACGAATGAGGTTGTTTTAGCAGTTTACTGTGTCAGCTTGATACTACATGCAACAATATGAGTAGGGCTACCGTATGTACAGTATCTCAGGTGGGGGCTAGTTGACTAATGTAACCTAACTGTACAGTACACTCCTGAGATTTTTGGAAAATATGTATTTCTCACATGTGAGAATTATTGTTGCACCTTTATACTGAGCATGTTTACAGAGAAACCGAGAAGCTAGCGAAGATGGTGAAATTGTGAATGCTTTGTTGGACGGGTTTGTGGGGTCCAGTTCTGTGTTAGATGGCTTCTTGCTTGGTGATGGTGGGCTGAGGGATGGAGATAGGATTCTTGGGCACAGTGGCTATAACCCCTTGAGCCATTTTATAGTGTTCTGAACTGGAGGCTGTGGGAGGAGAGGGGATTGGGGTTCCAGGAGTGGTTGCAACAAACCAGAAAGAATCCATTAGTGGAGGAATTCACTAAACTACGCAGCTAGTCAGGTTAACAAACAAATCAACATATTTACCTTGTGGCATAACATTACTTGAATATATATATATATATATATATATATATATATATATATATATATTCAGACAATGAATAAGTATTTTGTGAAATCTTCTGAGGGCATTAAAAATGTTAAGAAAAAATAAAATACATTTTCTTTGACAAAGTAAGCCTGATTAGTCTCTCTGAATAACTTCTTAGTGGATTATTCCGCCAAGCTTGTTTGTCCTTCCAACTACCTGACTCTGTTGCACATGGGAGTAGATTGATGCCACTGAGCTCATCGTTGGTTGAGAATTTCAAGCATTTTATTGTCTAATTTTGGGGTCGGTGTCCCAGACACAGCTTTCAGTGCTATTTAGTCCAGGACTAGGCTTAATCTGTCTCTGGGGAACCGACACTTAGAGTTGGACATTTGGGGTCTGGCATGTAGTTATTGGTACTCACAGATTTGGCCGTTGTGGATGGAAGTAGCCATGTTGCTAGCCACGATGACATTGTTGCTAAGGTGTTCCTGAACCAGATGTGGATGCAGAGAGTGTGGTGTGTGAGGTGCCTCGTTAGTAGAACCTGAGGAAAACAACACAACATACACCAACCCCCCAAACAGTTAGTTTCCTCCTTCACTGTGATGCTGTCCATTGGTAATACAGTATGATAACCAACTAGCATTCTATCCTATTGAAGAGTGTAAACTTCTCTAGCCAATAGAACTCACAGAAAGTTGTTTGTGATAAATTCTTTTGGCATTACATTTGGCAATAGATTTAGATTTTTTTGTTTATTTGTAACAATATCAAGATGTCTAACCTCCTAAGAGCATCTCTTGGAGCAGGTTGTCAATCTTGGCCATGCCAAAGAGTTTGACAAACTGTATTTGTTCGATCATCTGCCAGGTGATGCTCTGTAGTGTAGGCAGCAGCAGGAGCAACTCTCCGAAGCGTCCCCGGGACTCATACTGCCGGTCGTTGATGTAGTCCTCTAGGCTGACCTGAACCTGGTAACGCATCCGCTTGATCTTACCTGGTTCACTCAGACCTTTGGCATCTGGAGCAGGAGAGAGTAGGCATTTGGTCAACAGCTTGGTCACTCGCTACCTGGTCACATTGCTCATATAACAGGCATTCTTAGTCACTAGTTTAGTTACTCACTGGTTACATAGTTTTTGTTTTGCAACTGGTTACTCACTGGTTACTGCCCTAGAATGCTTCATATGATGTCTCACTGTTTGAATCGGACGATAGGCTGTTCATTTTAAAAGTGACGTTGTGTTCCATGTAATACCTGGATCAAAGAAAACAATGGCTTTCAAACAAGCGTATTCATTGTCGTCTATCTGGAGCTCCTGGAAGGACAGCACTAGCTCGTCCAGAATCCTCACTGCTACTCGGCTCACTTCCAACTCCGGGCAGTTCCGGGGAATAATGTGGTCATTTCCTATAAGGAACAGAAACCAATAATTGTCATGTAGGGCAGAATCACTCTGTGATGTTTGACGATCCCCCCCCCCATATTGCTAGCATAACTGTTATATAACTAGTCTATTATATTACACAACTATTATATGATGTGATGTAATAATAATAATAATCCTTTGGTGGGTGCTTATATTAGTACAAGAATGTACTAATACGCATGCGTTAATTGGGCTCCCGAGTGGCGCAGTGGTCTAAGGCACTGCATCTCAGTGCTTGAGGTGTCACTACAGACCCCCTGGTTCTATTCCAGGCTGTATCACAACCGGTCATGATTGGGAGTCCCATAGGGCGGCGCACAATTGGCCCAGCGTTGTCCGGGTTTGGCCGGTGTAGGCCGTCATTGTAAATAAGAATTTGTTCTTAAATGACTTGCCTAGTTAAATGAAGGTAAAATACACCCTTGGAGAGTGGGGTCACAGCCAGGGTCTACCATTATCAATGGTGATCCTGGAGCAATTAGATGGTGTACAGTAGCTAATATATTATCTTCACTTTACCTAGTAACAGGAGGTCCTTGTACAACATAGACCTCTTTGCAGCTCCAATCAGAAGATTCTCTCCAGCATGGGCTCGCAGCAATGCCACCTGAAATAAAGGAAAGTCATTTCAATATTAATCACTGGGAGAAAAAAAAACTGGTTGAATCAACGTTGTTTACATTTCATTTCGATGTAAAAAATAAAATAAAATGTGATGACGTTGAATCCAACGTCGAAAACTGATTTGGATTTTTTAAAAGTCATCAACGTAAGGGAATTGTGTCTTTTTTTCACATAAATGTTTACCGAAATCCAATGACATGGTGAATGATTGATTTCATGTTGAATTCACATTAGTTGACAACTCAACCAAATGTAAATCAAAACTACACGTTGAGCTGAAGTCTGTGCCCAGTGAGTAGCTTTAACCTTGAAGCTGTCTTGCATCAAAACACAGCCTCTTAACCTTTTTTTTAGGGGGTAGATCAGCTTAATATTGCAGATAGATTGTAACTTCCATCAATGTAATTGTCTGCATCACTTCCAATCACCCATGATATATATATATACATACATACACACACATACACATATACATACATACATACATACAGTGGGGGAAAAAAGTATTTAGTCAGCCACCAATTGTGCAAGTTCTCCCACTTAAAAAGATGAGAGAGGCCTGTAATTTTCATCATAGGTACATGTCAACTATGACAGACAAAATGAGAAAAAAAATCCAGAAAATCACATTTTAGGATTTTTAATGAATTTATTTGCAAATCATGGTGGAAAATAAGTATTTGGTCACCTACAAACAAGCAAGATTTCTGGCTCTCACAGACCTGTAACTTCTTCTTTAAGAGGCTCCTCTGTCCTCCACTCGTTACCTGTATTAATGGCACCTGTTTGAACTTGTTATCAGTATAAAAGACACCTGTCCACAACCTCAAACAGTCACACTCCAAACTCCACTATGGCCAAGACCAAAGAGCTGTCAAAGGACACCAGAAACAAAATTGTAGACCTGCACCAGGCTGGGAAGACTGAATCTGCAATAGGTAAGCAGCTTGGTTTGAAGAAATCAACTGTGGGAGCAATTATTAGGAAATGGAAGACATACAAGACCACTGATAATCTCCCTCGATCTGGGGCTCCACGCAAGATCTCACCCCGTGGGGTCAAAATGATCACAAGAACGGTGAGCAAAAATCCCAGAACCACACGGGGGGGACCTAGTGAATGACCTGCAGAGAGCTGGGACCAAAGTAACAAAGCCTACCATCAGTAACACACTACGCCGCCAGGGACTCAAATCCTGCAGTGCCAGACGTGTCCCCCTGCTTAAGCCAGTACATGTCCAGGCCCGTCTGAAGTTTGCTAGAGTGCATTTGGATGATCCAGAAGAGGATTGGGAGAATGTCATATGGTCAGATGAAACCAAAATAGAACTTTTTGGTAAAAACTCAACTCGTCGTGTTTGGAGGACAAAGAATGCTGAGTTGCATCCAAAGAACACCATACCTACTGTGAAGCATGGGGGTGGAAACATCATGCTTTGGGGCTGTTTTTCTGCAAAGGGACCAGGACGACTGATCCGTGTAAAGGAAAGAATGAATGGGGCCATGTATCGTGAGATTTTGAGTGAAAACCTCCTTCCATCAGCAAGGGCATTGAAGGTGAAACGTGGCTGGGTCTTTCAGCATGACAATGATCCCAAACACACCACCCGGGCAACGAAGGAGTGGCTTCGTAAGAAGCATTTCAAGGTCCTGGAGTGGCCTAGCCAGTCTCCAGATCTCAACCCCATAGAAAATCTTTGGAGGGAGTTGAAAGTCCGTGTTGCCCAGCGACAGCCCCAAAACATCACTGCTCTAGAGGAGATCTGCATGGAGGAATGGGCCAAAATACCAGCAACAGTGTGTGAAAACCTTGTGAAGACTTACAGAAAACGTTTGACCTGTGTCATTGCCAACAAAGGGTATACAACGAAGTATTGAGAAACTTTTGTTATTGACCAAATACTTATTTTCCACCGTCATTTGCAAATAAATTCATTAAAAATCCTAAAATGTGATTTTCTGGAGAAAAAAAATCTCATTTTGTCTGTCATAGTTGACATGTACCTATGATGAAAATTACAGGCCTCATCTTTTTAAGTGGGAGAACTTGCACAATTGGTGGCTGACTAAATACTTTTTTTCCCCACTGTACATACACAAACTACTTTCCAACCCCACCACCCTTTCCCTAATTGGAGTAAACTAGTGAACAACAATGCTTAGGCCTCTACTTCCAGCTTATACTTACTATATACATTTTATGGACACAGTCAATTTTACAGTAATTATATTTTGTTTGTTTTTTCTCCTGAACTTCTTCTACTCTCAACCTCTCCAATCATTTTCATGATGTCCATCCGGTTTGCTTCTATATGCCATATCTTTCTAACTGTGCTCTTTCACAAAAGCTACCAACATACAACCTATATACTTATTATGGACACAGTATGCTTACATTATTAGTTATCTTATTATTAGTTGTTGTTATTAATCCCATCCTTCAACTCCATTCAACACCACCCATCTATCTCTTAACACCATCCAAATAGGATTTCTATTTGCCATATATTTTTCAACTGTACTGTGATGTTTTAGAAAAGTTCTGAAACTTTCTATTCTCATTGTTTCTACAGATTGTAAATTGAAAATAAACATTTTGCTAAAGTATTATTATATTATTGATCGATTGACTATGACTTTTCAGATCACCCAGTAATGCTATCTGCAAGGTTAGCTCCAGGTAAATATTGCAATCCTTTAGCCATTCCTGGACCAGTGTCCAAAAACAAGCTACAAATGGACAGTGCCAAAACAAATGATCTAATGATTCTGTCTCTTCGCAACAAAATCTGCAGAGCTGGGAAGAGTGTATCCCCCATATAAATAACATTCTATTGGTAGCAATAATTTTATATAATAATTTAAATTGAAAGATTCAAAGTTTTGAATCCGGTGTCGTTTTGCGTATCAGTTCATAAACACTATGCCATGGGATCGGTACGTCAAAAATCTCTTCCCAACTATTTTGCAATCTATATGGGACGGACGGCTGTCAATCCTTTGGTCCTTAAATGAAACTGGTATACTTTTTTATTCATCACAGTTTTCTTTAACCAATTATGTTCTTTAATGCAAGGCCGACAGACAAGTTCCTTACTTTCTCCCCCTTCCACTTTCCTCTTCCATTTTTGCGGTAAGGCTGCAATTATTTGGTTGTAATTTTGGGTAGAGCAGACATTTCCATATGTTTTTGTTAGCTGCATGTGCAACATAACTCCACCAGTCCTACCGATGATATAATTTACAAAGATTATACCTAAACCTAAATAGGTTTTTTGTCAATTAGTATATTTGAGTTTAACCACAATATTTGTTGCATTATTTGTTCTGTCGTTTCTGGAGGATTAAATTGAAATTGCAACCAACTTTCCATGGCTTGTTTTAGAAATAGTGATATTTGGGAGATTATTTCCTTTTCAAATAACTGAAAGTGAGAGGTTGTAATCTGAATAAAGGGAAAAGGCCATTCTTGAACATTGGGTGAGACAATCTTACTAATTTGCTTGAGAACCAGTTCGGATTTAAGTATAATTTTTGTATGACTGAAGCTTTTAGTGATAGGTCTAATGCTTTAATATTTAATAATTTCCGGCCTCCGAATTCATATTCATTATATAAATAGGCCCATTTAATTTTGTCTGGCTTGCTGTATAAAATTGACTTTTTTTTTCTTCATATAATTTAAAAAACTGTTCACTAGGTGTAGGCAAGACCATAAGCAAATAGGTAAACTGGGATAATACATATATATATATATATATATATATATATATATATATATATATATATATATATATATTTTTTTTTTTTTTGTCATTTAGCAGACGCTCTTATCCAGAGCGACTTACATACTAAAGAGTTAATCAGGGTGATTTTTCCACAAATTGACAGGTATTTACCTTTCCATGGTAGCAAGATCTTATCTATTTTTGCTAACTTTCTATTAAGATTTATTGGAGTGAGATCATTTATTTCCTTTGGTATATGTATTCCGAGTATATCCACATCACCATCAGACCATTTTATTGGTAAACTACATGGTAATGTAAAAATTGTATTTGTTTAGTGATCCAATATGTAATATAGTACATTTGTCATAATTTGGTTGTAATCCAGATCCTCTATGAGGCTGTGGAGGGATTATAGTTGTGGATTTAAAAGAAAACATGAATCATCAGCGTACAATGACACCTTTGTTTTTAAGCCCTGGATTCCTAATCCCTTGATGTTATTGTTGGATCTGATTTTAATAGCTAACATCTCGATGGCCATAATAAATAGATATGCTGATAGTGGACAACCTTGTTTCACTCCTCTTGACGGTTTAAAACTTTCTGAGAAATAGCCATTATTTACAATTTTACACCTAGGGTTACTATACATGATTTTGACCCATTTTATGAGAGATTCTCCAAAATTGAAATGCTCCAGGCATTTATATATAAACCCCAGTCGTACTTTATCAAATGCCTTTTCGAAGTCTGCTATGAATAGCAGGCCTGGTTCCCCAGATTTTCCATAGTGTTCTATTGTTTCCAGTACTTGCCTTATATTATCTCCAATGTATCTTCCATGTAAAAAACCTGTCTGATTAGAATGAATAATGTCCGACAATGCCTTTTTAATTCTATGCGCTATACATTTTGCTAGAATTTTTGCATCACAACACTGAAGTGTAAGGGGCCTCCAATTTTTTTAATGGACTGGATCTTTATATTTTACACTTGTATCCTGTTTCAGTAATAATGAAATCAGACCTTCTTCTTGAGTGTCTGATAATCTACCATTTACATAGGAGTGGTTAAAACATGCTAATAACGGTCCTCTTAGTATATCAAAAAAGGTTTGGTATACCTCGACTGGTATGCCATCCAACCCTTGAGTTTTCCCGGACTTAAAGTCTTTAATTGCATCCAGAAGTTCCTCCTCTGTAATTTCACCTTCACATTAGTCTTTCTGTATGGTTGTTAATTTTACATTATCAATAGAAAGAAAATCTCTACAATTAGCTTCAGTTAGAGGAGATGGAGGCGACTGAAATGAAAACATATGCTTAAAGTACTTTGTTTCCTCCTTCAAAATATCATTTGGTGAATCATGGGTGACTCCGTCAATTGTAACCAGTTTCATTAAATTATATTTGGCAGCATTCTATGTGAAGATTTAAAAAGATTGGTGCATTTTCCAATTCCATCCAGTTGCTTATTTTTAAATATTACACTTGATCTTCTGAATAAGTTTCTCCATTTCTTTTTGTTTTGCATCTATCTGTTTGTTAGACTTATTCCTTTGTTAGTATAAATATTTTGACCTAATTGCTTTTGTTTTTGAGATGGAGGTACTGAATTGCATGGCCTCTAAAGGACATTTTAAGGCGTCCTAAAAATAAGGGGATTTGCTGTACCTATGTATGTCGGAAAAAGCCGTTATAAATTCCTTTCCTAGTTAAAAATAAATTATCATCCAATAGGCTTTGAAAAAATTTCCAATTCTCACCACGTGAATTCAGTAGAGTAATGATATGCAATTATATGATGGTTGACGATTCTGTCCCCTATCAATACTTTTTAACTTTGGTTGCCAACGAGAATGACATAAGAAAGAAGTCAAGACACTAGCTTGATGAGTTCCGCCATGTATATCTCACTAGATCAGGATATTTAAGCCTCCATATATCTACTAGTTCTAATGTATCCATGACATTCACGATTTCCTTAAGAGCATGAGGGTGATTGTTTGTAGTGTGATTTCCTTTACGGTCCATTGAGCTATTTAAAACAGTTTTATAATCCCCCACCATAATAATATTTACTTGAATTGCTTGCAGGGTTGATCATTTATTATAGATATTGTCAAAGAAGTGTGGATCATCATTATTTGGTCCGTAAAGGTTAATGAGCCATATCTGTTTATGTTCCAATAACATATTTAAAATAATCCATCTACCTTGCGTATCTATTTGGACAATTTGCACATTCGGATCGAAATTACTATTAACTAATATCATCATTCCTTTTGAGTTTCTTTGCCCATGGGAGAAGTATATTTCTCCACCCCCATTCCTTTTTCCACGCAACTTCATCTATAATTGCTGAATGAGTTTCCTGTAAACAATAGATATTATATTCCTCTGAACTTCTTTATGAAACAATGTATTTGATAAGACATGGGAAATATTACACCACTTCTGCCACTCATACCTAACCATTAAACAAGGAAGCTTTCCCACCACCTTTAAGGTCACTGAAGAGCTAGCCAGAGATTCTCACAGAGAGAGAGAGTCAAGTAAGTGTGTGAAGATACACCTGCTGGATCCCTCACTAATTCAACATCAGCAAATCAGTTACCAAAGCCCTGGTTATCACAGTGTTAATGATTCTGGAATGGTTCTGATCAGAGATACAACTTTCAAACTAGCTCATCATATTCTAACTGGAGATTATAATACATGAACCACCTATTTGGCAGAGGATTCTGAGGTCTTAAAAAACAGCAGCAGCACTCTATACTCAAAATGCTGCATGGAGAGCTTTATATTCCCTGGACACATAGCTTCAAGTTGTTATTGTTAAGAATCCCAATAATGTCATTATCAGACTGGTTTCTGGCCTTATATTGCATTCTTTTTAGTCCAGGACAAAACGGCCCATAAAGTGCAATAGCCCTGAATGAGAGTAGTAGGGTTTAGTCTAACCTAGTCTGTGACTGTTCATTTCTAGTGCAATCGTACCTGGTCATCCAGGGGCAGGTCACAGAAGGCAGGGATGTACTTGGCCCATTCCACCAGCACCAGCAGCTGCTGTTTCATTGATTCACACACATCTGTGATGGTCGCTATCTTTTTCGTCCTGATGTCACCATTCAGTATAGGTCCAGGTGAGGATATCTACACACGCAGAATAAAAAATGAATATGTCTCCTATGTATTCATAGCCAAATTATAAACACAATTTATTTAACCAAAATAAATGAAATTCCATTCCATTCTATTCAATACAACCTCTGTGGCATTTTTTATTTTTTTTATGCTTACATGATTTCGATCGAAAAAGCCATATCCATGGGTCTTACCTGTCTTGAGAGTACATCTGCCTGGATCAGTGCATTGATAGATGGTAAACTGCTGTCTTCATAGCTAGATCTCCTGGTGCTGATTCTGTCTCTCTCGTTCTGTACAGCTGAGAAACAAATAGAAACATAAACCGTGGCTAGCAGAATATAATACATACTTCATTATTTATTGTTCACCAGAAATTGTTTAGTCAAAGCACTCCCCATACTCTCAGACTCACTCTAATTCACTTCACAAACCTACAAAGTCATTCAACTCAAATATGCCATTCCTTTCATATGTTAAATCATACATTATCTGACAGTCATTCATAATTCCTAGTAGGTTACTAGCATTGACTCAGAATAGCATTAGGAGAAAAAAGTATCCTAGGGTTGATGTGTTTATCAGTATGTGTGGCTATAACTCCCTCACAGAAGTTGTTGCTCAGCATAAGCTGGTCATAGAATTCAGTGAATCACGGAGTGAACATTAACAAAGTGCTGCTCTTGTGGTTCTTGCAACATACCCTACCCTGAGCCATGAGCAGTCCCAATGGCTCTGCTCCTCTCTACAACACTACGATAGGGACTGGCTGATAAAAATGGAACGTTCTAGGATATCCCTTACCAGAGATTATTAAATCATAACTGCTAGTGTCATCACATTGGGTAGAGACTGAGTATAATATGTAATAACACAATATGGCTAAATAGGTCTATCTCAATAATGTTGTCACTCTTCCACTCTATTTACCATTTGAATGAAGTTGAATGAATTGTATACCTTCTTTTTTCATGCCAGCTCGAAAGCATTTCTTCAATCGACAGTATCTGCATTGATTCCTCTTGTCTTTGTCCACAATGCACTGTCTGCTGAACCTGGGAAGTGAGTTTGAAGAGGGCTTGATTTATTAAGGGCTTATTGAGTAGATTGCAGTTAGGAGAAGACTGTTGTTGAATATGCCAGTGCTATTGCAACCTACTGTAGAAGTCTGAAATCTATTGATTATCACGTTCTCTCGAGGCCTACATACATCAGTTTGATATTGCAACTGTCAATGAACACCCCATCTATGTACAGGTACTGTATCCCAATCCAAAAACTTGTTGAATTTAGTAGTCTTTTATTGTAAATGCCCAAGGATGGTCACTGTCTTTGCTCTTGTGTGTAATATTGGCCTAAACCTCACCTGCATGAGTACATGTGGTTTTTGCGAACGCTCCGACGGAAGAAGCCTTTGCAGCCATCACAGCTGGAGGCCCCATAGTGTTTGCCCGTGGCCCTGTCCCCACAGATGGCACACAGGGTGCCCGCTCCGAGGTGGTTGGCAGCGTTCATGTTGGCACTCTCAGCCGGCGAGGAGTCTGAAACAACAATGAATAAAGACATATTTTATACAGTATATTTGAAGTTTGGGATGTGCGTATCACCCTATGCTTCAGAGTCGAGAGAGAGAGAGAGAGAGAGAGAGAGAGAGATATTCCTTATCAAGTCAGGGGCTCTTTGGGTCATCATGTTGGATATGAGATAGAACATATGTGCAGTTATGTGATCCAAGATCAAAACGAGTAGATATTTCTGAGGGCTAGATTAAATAATGAAATAATGAATTGCTATGTTGGTGGAAGATAAACTGTGCGAGTGTATGGGATGGATGTTATGGAATGACTAGTGGTCAACAGTTTGAGAGAACTAGAGGAAAGGTCATACATTGAAATCATCTGTTACTTTAACCAGAATGTTTTTCTACAAAATGTGAATAATGTATTCTTTTTCTTACTCTTAGCGCACTCAGTCCTCATTTATTAACTAATATAATCAATATAATGACTGAATATAACTTAGAGGGACAATAGTGAATGACCTAACTAACTAACTTACTAACATACTTTCAAAGAAAACAGATATTTTGATTAATTTCATTTTAAAAGGTGAGAGCGACATTGATTGGTTGACTGCATCAAGTGATTACATTAAAGTCAGTCAGTGGCATTGCTGGTTGATAAAAAGGGCTAATACGGCTATGATCCGATCTATTACAGTAGTATTTACTGCACATCTGATTAGTAGCTGAAAGCCCAGTCAAAGTAAACAGTAGTTTAAGTGATGTAGGCTTGATTACCTTGAAAAGGCAATCACTGGAGACAGACAGTCTTCCTCTCAGTCTCACCCTTACTCATAGTCATCAATGAGATGACTGGCTCAATCAATCATACAGTATGGACAGTTTCTGCTTATACTTTACATGAAGTTACTCTTAGTTATACCTGTGTAGTAAAGCTGTAATTACACTAGTAACAACATCTAATGTAGAAATAAACAACACACTGTATTGTATGCTATTTACGTATCATTAAAAATTGGAATATTTGTGAGGATTAAACAGTACAATCATTAAGGCATATCAAAGATGATATTGGCCATGCAATGCGATTGTCTTTCAAGGGTCTTTCATTGTTTTTTATCCTGCGAGGAAATAGTTTCTTTTTAGAATCAAGTTCACAGTCAAATGTCATGGGAGACTAGAAAGGACAATTTCTCACTTTCAAAAAGCATGTATCATGCTGTCACACAACTCTGTGAAATGCTTTTCTCATTTTATGGACCTCAAAATGCATAATATAGATGTAGGTAACTAGAGAGAGATGTCCATGTCTCTTAAATCACCATCGCATAGGATCTATTCGTTGTAATTCTATCTTAGGTGAAATATGACCACTATACCATAACAGTCTACAAGTTACAACAGGAGAAGGTAATTCTCTACCAAATGGTTGTTTCACCACCAAACTATCCAGATGCATTGAGTGTATTGTGCAAACCCCCTGAATGTTTTACTACTGCAAGAAGAGATGATAATATTATCAGGAAAGAAGCACATTCTCATTCATTTGCATCCAATACAAGATGGACAACTGACAGCTAAACTGACCTGTCCAAAAGTTTAATATAAGTACCCCATTTAGCAGACACTTTTATCCAAAGCGACTTACGGTCATGCATGCATACATTTTACGTGTGGCTGGTCCTGGGAATCAAACCCACTATCCTGGCATTGCAAGCGCCATCCTCTACCAACTGAACTACAGAAGACCAGTTTAATAGCCAAAAGTCTCAAAGTTCAACCAGGTAACTTGTGACTCTGACTCACCTGAGCCCATGGAGAGCACTTGCATGTTTTCAAACTCCAGGGTGGTGTAGGCTGGGTCCAGGGCATCACTATAGTCTGCCATATCCATGTCTACTAGTTCTTTGGACAAACAAATTCCCTCTCAGCTACCTGACAGTGGGGCAAAAAGACTTGTCCAAGAGGCTAAGTGCCCCCCCCTGCACCCCTCCTCCTCCCTTCTCCCATATTTGGCCAAGCTCCTCCTCATAAAGGTAGATAGATATACCGCTGAGTATGCGATGGGGACACTCTCTCCTCCAGAACTCCAGAGGAGGAGGCCATGAGGAGCCTGGTTGTGACTGACAGGAGGAGCCTCCTCCCAGGCAGGCTGCTAACCGGAGGAGGGGTGGGGTGAATGGCAGGTTGATATTTAACTAGACTCCTCTATTGGTGAATCACAGTTGTTTTTCTCTCAAAGATAACATAACTTGGGATCTCTCAATCTTTTCCCTTCTCTCTCTCTCTCTCTCTCTCTCTCTCTCTCTCTCTCTCTCTCTCTCTCTCTCTCTCTCTCTCCCTCTCTCTCGCTCTCCTTCCCTCTTTCTCTTTCCACCCTGCTGTCAGTAATAGATCAACGATTATACTATGAGAGACATAAAATGTTGAATCTCAGCCAAATCATTGTGCTTTACTTGCTTGACATCACCTCTTATTGTTTCCTGCCAGTTTAAACCAGTTGTCCATCAGATAAATGAATGTCTTTTACCAAAGAATTGGAAGCTCAACTTGTAGGCCATCCAAAAAATGCCAAGACACTCTTACCCAAAGCCTTCAGCACCAAAAAGCATTTTATCATATGAATTCGTATTGCAATCTGAGAGCACACATATTATTTTAGCCTTTTAGCAAATTACTTAATCAAATATATACTCAACTCGAAGAGAGGTGCAGCTCAACTGGAAGCAGTGCAGTCTGGATTCAGACCTATGTCCAAATGTAATATGTCTCTGGTAAATCTCAGTTAATTTATTTGTAATAAACAAGGGAAATAACTATTGCTGAAAACAACTTGTTGCCTTTATGTAAAGGAGTTCACTGTTTCACAAAATGCTGTACGCACGTTACATACCAAAGCAGTGTAACCTAACTCTTCAGAAACATTGTTTTTTTCAAAGAAATGGCTCCTTAACGTCAAATTGAAGGCCTTTTAGAGCACTATTTGGTCACTAATGTCATTGGTTTGTGATGGTAGGAGTTTATATCTGGTTTCTTCTGGGGACTCCAGGAAAGCAAGCAACATATTAGAAAACTTCCAGCAGGATTAACAATGTAAAGTGGCTTAACAAGAATCTGAGAACAGAATGCGCTGTGAGAAAAGTATTTTAATACTCTAAAGTTTACTATTATATGTTCATAAAATGACATTAAATATCGAATACAGTCGAGTATTAACTCGAATACAATAAACATTTGTTTACACGGCCTGTAACGCAACTGATTTTAGAATAATAAATGTTGCAGAATACGCAAATAAGGTGGCCCCACTGCGTAAGTAAATGTGACATGGCAAACAGTAGTGTTGTATTTGAAGTAGGGAACGTGCCAGTACAAAGCGACAGGTCAATGATCTAGGGTTCACCGAGACCTCAGAGCAGTTAAACGCAGGCTGGTGAACTTGAGAACCACCCACCCAGAGCATATAGGATTCAGAAAATAAAATCTCTCCTTCTGAGTTTAATATCGTAAAACATTCCTGTGGTTATGTCCATCCGCCTGAGAGTGTAGAGTAGATACAAAAATGGACCAAAACTGATTCAAATCCTATCAGATGTCAATATGGGAGACATCAACTTGATTAATGTTTGGTAGAATTAAATAGTCCAATATAACTAGTTAGATGGATGAAAAAAGGTTTAGCATCACAAACAAACTTGCACTAAAGAATCTTCACTCTTCCTTTAGAGAGGAATATTTGTCGCCAATAACAACATTTTTTATCAATGGATGACAAGAGTTGGTCAAATAGAACATGCACTAATCCAGGGCCTCGCCAAAGCTTCTGGGTGTCCATGTCTCATAAGTCTGGACAGAGGTCATTACATTGCTTACTTCTCCACATCTTAGGTAGATACTCTAGAGGAACGCCTCTCAAGTGCCCATATTTGCTCATGTTTGCTTGAGCACGAAGGCAGTAATGATCATGAAGCACTTAGACTGAGTCCCAAATGGCACTATATTCCCTATATAGTGCCCTATGGGCCCTGGTCAAAAGTAGTGCACTAGGGAATAGGGTGGCATTTTGGACACATGCATAGACTCTGTTGGAGTGCCCTTCAAGGGCCCATATTTGCTCATTCACCACGGCAGTAATGATGGTGAAGCTAGGAGTGTGATAGAGGGAAATCTGTGTGACGGAATGAAAAGAATGAGTCACTTAGAACAAATCTTATCTCCTTTAGCCATTAAACGTCTTTATTATCGCCAGCTCACATCTTCATTTTCTGTGAACTCCTCCAAGAACAGTCATATACTGCTCCATAAAGTGTCATCTGCAAGGTTACACAGGCAGTGACAGACTGTTCAGGTTTAGAAAGATACTGATAGCAACATTTTGGATCAACACCTTAAACTCACATAACTTGTCTACGTTTTAGTAACTGATATAGATTTTTTCATGACTTGCATGTCATTTACATGATGCTAACAGGATAACATGTCAAAGCACTCAAATTATAATCTTGAATTATAATATATAATCTTAGTAACTATTTGATTTGTCATGCTTTTGCAAATATGGAGAGTTCTATCATATCAGGTTGTATGTTTAAAATTAGTCCCTGTATGATAGGTACATTCCCACAGCACACAAACTTCAACCAGCTTCCCGAGTAGCTTATCATAGAGTAATCAGAGAAGCCTCCTGATTTAACTAGTTCACTTTAACCTGTTTTAACACTGAGCCAGACCCTACCACAGCCATCAGAAGACTAGACCATAGCAGTAACATGCAGTCCAGACAACTCCCAAAGTGAAATGTCTTCTAGACAAATAGTTTATTTCTGTGTACTCAACAAGATTATTCATATTTTATTCATGAAGTTTTAACTTGACATGCTCCCGATTGACACAGTCAGTCCTCGTCACACACACCTGAAGCAGCCATGTTGATGTGTGTATGACGTTTTTATGGAGGTCCTGTCCTGTCAGTCTTATAATGAGTCACACAAACAGCCTGGGGCTAAAAGTCAAAAGACAGACTGCTGATGAGACCTGATGTAACACTAGTGTGATTCTCCCCTTTGAAACTAACTTCAAACTCCGGTTTGTGAACAAAGTCCTGTCTACCTTCTGAATAGGAATCTGAATAGTCCGACCACTGACCAAACTCCATTTGTTAACCACTGCCTATTTGTACCTTCCACTGAATGACTCTTTTTCATTCCACACGCCCGATCCCAATGGAAAGAGCTAGTGAAGCTAAAAGAGAATAACTGGAGACAACAACTGGGGGGAAACCAAGAGTCAAGAGTCAATGATATTTGGAATATACTGTATGGGAATATATGTACTTTTAGGAGAGCTCCAGCGCAGGGCAAATGTGAGTGTTTATGATGTGTGTATTATACAGTGTTGTAGATGTTGATAGGATGAGTGAAAGATGGACGGAGACATTGACAATGTGCTTGTTGCAGCATACATCAGGTCAGTGTTGAGCCAGCGCTGCTCTGTCTCTCTGTGTGTGTGTTAGATGTAGGAGATAGCATGTGAGTAGTAGTAGTGTCATGGCAGGCAAAGACCTTGTCAACAGATAGCTATCTGCAAATCACACAGCTTGTGCAACTCCAAGCCCCTTTGGCTGACCAGTGGCAATATCACTGGCAATTGCTGACTGCATGTGTTAATGTTGACATTTGTTGAAATTATTCTTATATTTGCTGTTTTTGTGGTTGCTTTGGTTTTGGTAATGCAATTGAAATATTATGGTTACTAGTGAAGGTAACTTTGTTGACTTGATACCCCTTCCCTTCCCCCTGTTTTAGCTAGCACTGACCAACACCTCTTGTAGATTGTTTGGTAAAACAGCTGTCAAAAAAAGTAATAAATAAAAGATACTTTTTTCCAGATAAGCTGAGGTGAAATCAATGCTTTGACTCACAACCATTTTGAGCAAATGTCTGGCATTTTTGACACTGCAGGCCTTAATGCTCAAATCAGTTTTGTTTTTCAAATCCATTTAGGAATACTGACTGTCCAAACAGCAAGTTACAAGTGAACAAATCAGACTTGCGTGTGTTCAGACTGTAGTCATTTGCTGATGGCTACTCTAGTTTTCATGGTGTGTTTGGTGGCGTCGGCAGATTGGTGGTGGTGCTCCTGCATCATCTCACTCAGAAGCTGTTGTGCAGCAAGCTAAGGTGACAATAATGCCTGCCATGGAAGTTTCCCAGTTGCTTTGAATGCTCGAAATCATAGCGTAAGAACACTTTTATAGCCTCAGAGGATAAGATGATCCAACATTCAAAACTAAAAACGATTTAGGGAAGAAGCAGTCAGTTGGTATTCTGTCTATAATGGAGTGGCCAGCACAGTCACCGGATCTCAACCCTATTGAGCTGTTGTGGGAGCAGCTTGACCGTATGGTATGTAAGAAGTGCCCATCAAGCCAATCCAACTTGTGGGAGGTGCTTCAGGAAGCATGGGGTGAGTCCTTTTTGGCTAGCCACAGCAGTCAACTAGCTAGCTAGCTAGCTGTTTAGTTTGCTAGCACATTCACTAATTTGTTTGTAAACAATTAACAAGCTATTTAGCTACCACATGTTCTTGTCAAACTGTCAACAGAGTAACTAGCAAGCGACAAGCTATGTCTAATAAAAGCCTAAAAAACACTTGAGGGCAAATAAATCAGATTTGACCATTTAGACACAAGTCGCATGGCCAAGAATCAGATTTGGATCTGATTTTAAACCATCTCTGAAGGTGGTTTGAAATGTGCCTTGAAATATCAGATTCCATGTGCTTTTTGGCTGTTCAGACTGCAGGAAAAATATCAGATTCTAATTAAGCAATAAGGCCTGAGGGGGTGTGGTATATGGCCAATATACCACGACTAAGGGCTGTTCTTACGCGCGACGCAACGCGGAGTGCCTGGATACAGCCCTTAGCTGTGGTATATTGGCCATGTATCACAAACCCCCGAGGTGCCTTA